TGGATGCAAATGAGCAGTTGCGCCAAATATTGGAACAGCAAAATCGACAATTTATTGAACTATTCAAAGCGGTACAGTCACCACCAAAATCCACCAGACAGGGCGGAAGTATTACACTACCAAAATTTAACCCTGACGTTTTGGGTGTAGATGCGATTTCCTGGTGCTCAACTGTGGACGTAATAATGGCAGACAATCCTTTAGAAGGCAGTACACTTATTATAGCCCTCAGTAAGTCAATGGAGGGGTGTGCATCGCAATGGTTGCCTCAAATAAGCTATGCGGGAATTACTTGGCAACAATTTAGAGAGTTGTTTGTGCAGCGATTTGGAGGTATTGAGACACCAGCAGCTACTATGATTGATCTATTCAATGGTCACCCAAATGATAATTAGTGCATCTCAGTGTATGCAAGTCGACTAGTAACCTCACTTATTCATAAATGGAAATCACTAACTATTGAGGAAATAGCTATCGCAGTGGTTCTTGCATATTCTGCTCGTTTTGACAACAGTTTGCAACGTTTGTTATTTAAAACGAGCATAAAGACCCGAAATGAACTCCAGCAAGAACTCAGAGCCTTTGCGTTTGGCAAAAGAAAGTTTGCTTTTGAAAATCAGCCAGAGTCAAAGAAACATAAACCATGGCCTTACCTAAAATGCCATTTCTGCGGAAAAGTGGGCCATAAAATCGCCGATTGCCGGTTGAAAAAAGATAAAGGCAAATCATCAATGAAATCAGGTCAATTTTCGGGCAGCTTGACAGCAGAAAAAGGTCGATCATCACTTATTTGCTTCAAGTGTGGAGAAGCTGGCCATATTGCATCAAAGTGTAACAAAAGCAGCAATCAGTATTCAAGCAACAATAAATCCGGTTTGGAAAGAGAGTGGACGCATGCGAAGTAATCGAACCTAAGGGAGTACTGAGTCAATCTGGTGAGTCATATCAATTCTGTTTTGATTCCGGGGCTGAATGTTCGCTTCTTAAGGAAACGGTGTCGGAGAAATTTTCGG